GGTCCTCCCGTTGGAAGAGCTTGTTTTGTGCCATATGCTTGCTCTAAGGCGGAAGAGGTGGAACTGCAAGTGCAAAATTTGCGTTTTTTCAAAGCTGCACTTGACGAACTTCGGCTTGCGGGAGTGGATGTATGCATCCCCTTTCAACTCTCGGATATAACACAGAACGTTAATGACGTCACTAACCGTATGATGCTGCTACGGCACACTAGGCCTCTACAGTGCCTCAGCTCTCTGCACTCAAAGGGGTCGCGTTCTTTTTTCGGCGTCATAAAGACGGCTGCAATGGCCCTGGAGTGAGCTGTGGCGTCTGCTGAACGATCCTCTGCAGAGACCTTCTCAGAAGCCAGTGAATTGGATGCTAGCGCGTGGGGTCTGAAAGTAGTCCCACCGCTTTTCTTGGTTCTGTTGGTTCTTGTTTTCTTGTTGTTTCTGTTGTTGTTCGTCTTTCTTATTTTTGCTGTTTCTCACGGTAATTTGTTTTACCACCAGTTGCGAGACCCACAATAACGGCCTATGCTGTGCTGGTAATGTGAAGAGCGCACACTTTGAAAAAAATGAGGAACTTGAACTAGGACTACTTTTGGTGATAGGAGCGACAAAGCTTCTTGCCTATGCTCCTCTAAGCCTTGGCTGTCAAAAACTTAAAGATTTTGGGTTGGAGCTTCTCCAGGATTTCTGTCCTTTGGTAGGTTTCTTTTTGAAGAAGATCACGCCATCGTCGCAGGCGCGACTTCCTGTAATCCCGAGGTCGAAATTCAGCAACCTCAGGGCTTTTTGCGGTTAGGCTCACAAGGGTTGCAGAGAACAAGAGAAAGCTTGGAGAAACCCGGCGAAAGAATGGCGAAACACTTGGTGCAAATCCAAAGCTTTTCCAGATTATAGGTTGGGATGCACGCGCGTCCAGTGTGTCAGAAACCGATAAATGCACGTGGGCACACGGTGACCTTTGATGCGGGCAAACTGCCCCAAAGAGTGAGTCTGTTCGATGTAAAGAGAGCAGACTCCCCGCATGTCGCAGCCAAGTTTTCGCAGACTCTGAAGAAATTTTCCATTGGTGATTGCCCGGCTGGAAAAGAATGCGCTGCTTCTCATTAAGACCGTCGTTCGGACCTTGCCAGATTGTCAGCTGGTTCCGGTTCCAGGGCGGGATCGAGGCCAGGCCTCTTGCGCAGCTGTTTTGCAGGCCGCGTCTGCTATCTCATTGATGTTGCGTCTCAAGCCTGGCCCAAACTCAGCGAGGAACGCTCCAGATTCGTGTGGGGCCTGATCCAAGTGACTTTGGCAAGGTGTTCCCGTCATTGCGCTTGTGCCCAGAGCCAGCTTTTGGTTGTAGCGAATTGTTGTCTGGCGGCTGCTCGACCGTCCGTGACATCCATGTCGCCACTTTGGATAGATGGTGGCAAACGTGGGCAGCGCAGGCTTCCCTTGCGCCGCAGTGGAACCAGGAGCAGGATGCCCGTAACCCCACCGGCGCACTCAAGGACCCCTGTCGCCATCGTGAATGGTGACAACGATCCGCCCGAGGGTCAGACCATGGGGTCCACCAGTCGCGTCCGTTGCGTACACGAGGTGTGCAGGCCAGAGGCGACTGGAGCCCACGTTTTTACTGACGGGGCCACTGGCGTGGCCGCCCAGGGAGGTCACCGAGGCTGGCATGAGCCCTCTAAGCCAGAGGCACGGGAAGGGAAAGGCCGCCTTCTTCTTCTTCTTCCAATGTTGGTGGGGCGGCGGAGCCCTCCCGGACCACCATTTACAGTCAGTGGTGAGGGAAGCAGCACACAGGGGGCAGGTGCCACCATCTTTCCATTTCCTACACTGGAAGGCACCTTGCCAGACCATTTTGATGGCACCTTTTTTGCTTTGTTGCCGTCCTTAAAGGGAACCCCCACGAGGCAGGCAGGGTCGACATCTGCGGGGAAAGCCCAGCACGACGGGGAAGGAGCCTCGACGCGAAGCTCTTTGAGGTAACAGATCATGGCACCAACCGGCCCGCAGACTAGCTTCACTAGCTTCCGCCTATCCGCTCGGTTCAGTTGGGTGCTAAGCTGCTGCCAGGCATGCAGTAGAAGCCGGCTCCGCGGCGGCATACAGCAAACAACACTGGCAACTCCTCCGCGTCCGATGACATCCGGCCAACGCCCCTTGCTCTGGCACCAGGTGCTGGGCTACGGTGCACCGGGCCGCTAGCAAGGCTTGCCTACTCGAGGCTCCCTACAAAACCAAGTTTACTAGCCTTTGGTGCAAGATGTACGGTCATCGAAATCCCACAGAGCTAGAGCCCTCTGCTCTCAAAGCGGTGACGTCTTGTCCTTACAGGCATAAGGATGAGGGAGCAATTCAGTACGAGCAAATAATGCAGCCCTTAAAGCGCTGGCACTCCGCCAACACAAACGTGGCCCAATGTCGTCAGGGCTCCCTCCTAAGGCACCATGCCTTGTTGGGGGACAGAACCTGTCAAGAGTGATGGAATTGGTAGCCCTTGGCTACTCTGGGATAGCCCCACTGGCTGATCACCATGGGGACGGCGAACACCGTGCGCCTCTATGCTGCCTTGTGCAGGGGGCTGTGTCCCCTTAAGACCCCACTGGCTGATCACCATGGGGCAAATTGGCCTACCCCCCCTGCGGGAGGGTCGGCACTGGTGGTTTACCGCATGTCTCGGTTATGACAATAGTCGAACATCGACCGCTGCGGTAGCCTTTGGCTATTCTTGGATAACCCCACTGGCTGATCACCATGGGGTAAGAAGATTCAGGACGGCGAACATCGTGTGCTCTACGCTGCACTGTGCAGATAGATGGCTGTGGCCTATGCAGAAGACCCCACTGGCTGATCACCGTGGGGCAAATAGGCCCACCCTCCTGGGGGAGGGGTCGGCACTGGTGGTCTCCCGCATGTCTCGGTTACCGACCACTGCGGTAGCCTTGGCTACTCTTGGATAGCCCCACGGCTGATTATTGTGGGGGAAAAAGATTCAGTTCGGCGAACGCCGAGTGTCTCTACGCTGCACTGTGCAGTTGGCTGCGGCCTATACAGAAGACCCCACTGGCTGATCACCATGGGGCAAACTGGCTTACCCTCCCGATGGGAGGGGTCGGCGCTGGTGGTTTACTGCAGGTCTTGGTTATGACAACAGTCGGACATCGACCGCTGTGGCATTCAGAATAGACCGTCCGTCCTTGGAATGTCTACCAAGACTACTGTGAGCATGCGGACATCCTATCTACTGGCACTCAACATACTCAGATGATTACGTGATGGTGATTTTGACTTCTGGCACACAATCGCATTTTGCGATTCCCCCACTCGACTTGGTGCTACATTGGCTCCGAGCAGGGACTACGTCGACGAGCTTGGGTACTGAGCGCGTGGGGTCTTATTAGTAGTCCCGCCGCCCCTGCTTGGTTTTGGTTGGTTCTTGTTTTGTTTTTTGTTGCTTCTTGGAGTTGTTCGTCTTTCTTGTTCCTCTTGCTTCTCACGGCGACATGTTTCACACCTAGTTGCGAGACCCACAAGAACGGCCTACTGTGCTACTGATGTAGTAAAGAGGCGCCCGCTTAAAAAAAATTCCTGGATGCGGTGCGGAGTCAACACTTGCGGCCGCTGTCGCAAACGGCGAGCGTAATGTCGCGCGGCAGTTCAACTGCCGCGCGGTAAGACACGCCTTTAATGCGCATCATAAAAGAATAAACCTTTGAACAGCCACATGACAAGTCACGCCTGGCTGCAAACATGATATTGAGCATTTCTGAGCGGCTTTCAACTTGGAATGGCCGGACGCCAAAACCCGATCCAATGTTTCTTTTCGCCAAATCCCGCCGCTGGATTGCTTGTGACCAAATCACTGCAGAGTCCTCTGCAGGAGAGGGAGTATGGATACGCGCAGCAGTTCCTCGAAAGAAGACACCAATGAGACTGGGGTGCAGGTTCGTGACTGGCGCTTCTCGGAACTTCAAACTACGGACCTAGCTTCGCTATGGGGGAAGTGGACCTGTGCGTCCCCTTCAGAATGCTGTTGTTCGTCCTTCTTGTTCTTCCTGCTTCTCACGGCGATTCGTTTCACACCTAGTTGCAAGACCCACAAGAACGGCCTACTGTGCTACTGATGTAGTAAAGAGGCGCCCGCTTAAAAAAAAAAAGCGTCCCGTTCAGAATGCCGTCCATCCGTATTGGAGGAACTATGTTGCTATCTACACTCCTCGAGCTCCGTTCCGAGGCAAGAATGAATGGTCCGGCTATCACTGCACTCCCATAAGGGCCTAGCTTAGCTGCTTCTGCCAACGCAAACAAAGGAGCTTTCAACGGCGGCTGGTCTAAGTGGTACGAGCCCGAAGAGATCTCTGAGGAGGTTGCGGAGATAGAGGACACCTCCCCGCAAGGGGAATGCCGTCCGGCACCTCGCCCTGGCTAACTCATGTTTCTGCGTCCTCTGCGTGGAGGCACTCTCACTTGGATGCGGTGACTGGCAAGGCACGTGCGTGGCAGTAGACGGGTGCCGTTTCTGTTGGCGCCTTCAACGTGTGCCGGTCGTGTCAATGTTCTCCATATGTGGAGCTTTTCGAGAAATGGATGGTGGTTTTGCTTTCTGGCTATGCGCCCGCATTTTGCTGCCTCCCTCTTTGCAGCATGATGCACTCCACGCGCAGCCCTTCGTGTTTCGCATCTCCTCATCTCCTCAAGCGAGGTGCATTGTGATCACAAGCGTGGTGCAGCGTGTCCTCCAGGAGAGGTTCAGGCTTTGTGCAGATGCCACTTGAAGCTCCGGGCTCGAGGCCCAACTCCCCGCTGTACACCTAGACACAGACAGCCTAGACCAGTGAAACTGAGCGAGGCTTTTGCATCTTTGGCATGCCTTGCTGCGCAGTGGCTGCCATGGAGAGGCTGAAATCGTAAGCATCAGCTTTAGCTTTGCGCGATGTCCAAGAGGGCCAAGATTTGCGGGTCTGCCTCTGCTTTGACAGCTCTGATTCCAAGCGCCAAACCATGTTCGCCGCCTTATGGGACCGTTAGTCCGCAGTCTGTTCACATTGCTTCACGACACTGGGGGCAACTCGAAGGCCGCTGCAGCGAGTGGTGCGGACGGGCTTCTTGTGTGGGAGGCTAAGTGCGCTCCGGCATCAGGGATTTTTTTAAACTTCTCCAACTCGCATTGTCACCTGCCCTTTCCGGAAGCAAAAACTGAGACCCCCATCAAGCCCTGGGATGCTCGCTGGATTCCCCTGAGCCCTCGTGATATTTGCAAGGGGCCCTGCAAGGGGCCCTGCAAAGGGCCCTGCAAGGCCCTGCAAGGGGCGTGCAGGGTGCTGCTCCTTGTGTTCCCATGTGGGAATCCGGAGCCGAATCGGCGATTCTCCAGCAAGCCCTAAACACCTCTCATTGCATTCCATGCGCTTCGCACCCGCTGCCGTTGTTGGGTGCGACCTGGTGCGCCAAGGCTCCAACGCGACATTGGCCTAACAAGCTAGTCTGTATGAAGGGGCAGAAGGCAAGAGAGGCAACTTCCGCTTCTGCTGGCCCGGTTGTGTTTACGTATCTGCGGCTTGTGAAAGCATCTTCGCATTTTGAAGGATTCTGCCTTGCAAGTTCGGGGGAGGATGAAGTTCGGCAGTTCTGTTTCTGGGCAGAGGGTGGAGTGTGTTGTATAGAATCGTTGTTGAGGTGCGGAAGGCGGCTAAAGGTTGCGTGACGATTGCCGCAACTTGTTTGCCAGCGAGGAGGCCTGCCGCTAGTCGACGCCGGAAGCGAAAGAGGAAGAGGAATCACCACCCCGTCTGGCACCCATACCAGCCGTTTGGTTTTGGTCTGCCTGTCTTGGTTTGTCGCAGTTGGATCCTTTAAACTTTCGCTGTTTGGCCGGAGGTGATACCGCTTCGCACACAATGTTGAGAGTCGGTGACGGTCTCCTCGCCCCAGACGTTTGGATCCAGCGAGAATCATCAAAAGCCTTGGAAGCCAACAGAGTTGAACTAAGTCCAGCTTGTTTTGCAGATTGGCTTTTGTGTAACATTTTGGCAGACCTGAAGAGTTCAATCATGTGTCCGTTGTGCTCCGGAGAGTTTTGCCTTTCGGCTTCAGAGTGTTCCAAGCAGTGTCGCAGCGGTAGCAGGCCACTTGACAATGGTCCCTTCGCCTTTCTCCTTCGCCTCCTTCATCTTTCGGGTTCTGCTGGCCACTCACGGGGAGCCGTGCTTCAGTTTAGCCGGCCAAGCCGACATCATCTACCCCACGATTTCGGCCTTCGCCGCCAGAAAGTCAGACGGCACCGCAGTGGCTTGGGGCCGCGCGTCCCAGGGCGGAGACTCCAGCAGCGTGAGCGGCCAGCTGACCGATGTGGACGTGATCTCCTCCACCACTGTTGCCTTCGCTGCCAAGAAGACAGACGGCACCGTAGTGACTTGGGGCCTTGCGGGAGAGGGCGGAGACTCCAGCAGCGTGAGCGGCCAGCTGACCGATGTGGACGTCATCTACTCCAACGATCATGCGTTCGCCGCCAAGAAGAGAGATGGCACCGTGGTGACATGGGGTAACAATGGGTATGGCGGAAGCTCAACCCAGGTGAGTGCCCAGTTAACCGCTGTGGACGTGATCTTCTCCACGTGGAGAGCTTTCGCCGCCAAGAAAACAGATGGCACCGTCGTGACTTGGGGCCATGCATCCTACGGCGGATGGGCGACGGGCAACGGCGTGAGCGGCCAGCTGACCGATGTGGACGTGATCTCCTCCACCATGTCTGCCTTCGCTGCCAAGAAAACAGACGGCACCGTGGTGACCTGGGGCGATGAACTAGGTGGCGGCGACTCCAGCAGCGTGAGCGGCCAGCTGACCGATGTGGACGTCATCTACTCCAACTATGGTGCCTTCGCCGCCAAGAAGGCCGACGGCACCGTGGTGACGTGGGGGAGTCTGCCCAGTGGCGGAGACTCCAGCAGCGTGAGCGGCCAGCTGACCGATGTAGACGTCATCTACTCCACCGGTACTGCCTTCGCTGCCAAGAAAACAGACGGCACCGTAGTGACTTGGGGCAGCGCAAGGTATGGCGGAGACTCCAGCAGCGTGAGCGGCCAGCTGACCGATGTGGATTTCATCAACTCCACGCATGGTGCCTTCGCCGCCAAGAAAACAGACGGCACCGTAGTGACGTGGGGCGATATGTGGCAGGGCGGAGACTCCAGCAGCGTGAGTGGCCAGCTGACCGATGTGGACAAGATCTTCTGCACGAATTTTGCCTTCGCTGCCAAGAAGACAGACGGCACCGTAGTGACTTGGGGCCATGCCACCCACGGCGGAGACTCCAGCAGCGTGATCGGCCAGCTGACCAATGTGGATGTCATCTACTCCAACCGTATTGCGTTCGCCGCCAAGAAGACAGATGGCACCGTGGTGACATGGGGTGATGCAAATGGGGGAGGCGACTTGGGCGGCGTGTCGTTCGAGGTGCCTGCTTCAGTGTGAACAGTGAGCTTTCAATCAACATGTCCCTTCAATCAAAATGTTCCTTGTCAGTTAGGTTGTAGTCCCGGACTGAGACAAGGCGCACGGCGCATGCAACTCTTGACGGACTTTGTTGTGGCTGTTGAACCATACCACTGCAGTTCGTGCAAACCCTCCCAGGAGGACGAGGGCATTCCAAGATACGGCAGGGGAGCTGCCAGTGTGACAATATCAATATCAGCAACATGCGGAGGGTCTTGTCTGGGGCGGAGGGGACGGACAGCAAAGTTGGGCGTTTTAACTTTTGGCAAAAAGTCGCCTTTCAAACCTTGTAAATGTATACAACAAAATCGTATACTGAGTTACACACGAGCCCACAAACACGTGGGCAATGTCATTCAACTGCAGATGAAGAATGGTATGCATGTCGAAGTTTTTCGCACAGGTCTCGTCAAATCCAGGACTGCCAGAATCCCCGGGACCCGAAAATTTTTTTAGCGAATCATAGCTTATCTCTGGAACTGAAAGCCACACACAGGGCGCCATTGTGAGTTGTGCTGCAGGTAGGTTGCTGCCGCGTTTTGTGCTGCCGCGAGTAGCATTCTCGGAGGTGGTTTGTGTGCTTTGGCGCTGCTGAGCTTGATTGGGGCTCGCTCTTGGGGGTGCGCTCTTCTGGTCTTAACTGCCTTCACTGATAGCCGATGCGTTCTTCTTGTGTGCAGACCTCCTCTGAAGCCGATTCAGTCAGCATGTTCTAGCAGGCTCTAACGACTCTAACGGCAACAGCAACGTCAACATCGGTGACACTAACTTCAACCTCGAGGACAGTGTCCATCACGTCGGTGTCATCGACATCAGCAACAAGGACGTCAACATCGACGTCAAGCCTGACGATGTCGACGTCGACTTCGACAACGTCGTCAACGACAACGTCGTCAACGACAACTTCGTCAACGACAACGTCGTCAACGACAACGTCGTCAACGGTGCATACATGTGCACAGGCATACCATCCCTGCCAGCCTGGATTCATGCAACAGTCTGCGGATGCTCCTGCTGTAAGTCAAGACTTTTGCTGTTTGAAGACTTGCGCAGCTCACACTTGCCCAGCAGAGCACATTCCCATTCAAGCGAAGTTGGCCTCCACGGTTGTGTCGGATGCGGACTGCTGTGAAATGACTTGCAGCGCTTTCGATTGTCCCTCAGGCTACGCGAGGAATCCGAGCATGCTGTTCAGTGCGCCGGTGTCGCAGCAAACTTGCTGCGTTGAAACTTGCTCCCGCTTCTCATGCCCGGCAGATCATGTTCCTGACACAAGCAACTGGAATTCCTTAACACTGACCGTGCTGGAGTGTTGCTTGCCCACATGCTCTGGCTTGTCATGCCAAGCCAACTTTGTGCCCGATCCAGCCAAGTCAGGCTCAACTGATGTGCGACAGGAACACTGCTGCTTGCCATCCTGTGCATCATTTTCATGCCCCCTTGGGTACGCCCCCAATCCAGGCAACAGCCAGGCGACAACCTTGGATTTCCAGACTTGCTGCTCCCCGTCCTGTGCATCGTTCACATGTCCCGCATCCTTTGTTCCGAAGCTTTCAGCTATGTCTTCCATAAGCCTGAGCACATCAGATTGCTGTGAAGCCACATGCCAATCGTACACATGTTCCAGTGGTTTTGTGGTTGACAGTACGCGGGCAGCTTCCACGCTGCTGACAGATGCCAGCTGTTGCATTCAGACGTGCGCCGGCTTCACGTGCCCGATCGGCTACGTAAATGATCCTGCCTTTGCGCAGAGCACCATCGTCTCGAACAAGGCATGTTGCAAGCTCGATAGCTGTTTGGCTTTCGCGTGTCCAGTTGGCTTCACGCCAGTTTCTAGCACACCTAGCACAGTGTCACAGACGTCCTGTTGCGAACGACAGTGTTCATCTTTCCAATGCCCTGCTGGCTACAGCCTAAACCTTGCCAACAGCGCCTCCACCGCGATTTCAGTTTCGAACTGCTGTGAGGCGACCTGCGCCACGTTTGGGTGCCCGGACGGTTATGTTGCAAATCCAGCCCAGAGTGCCTCCACCATACTGTCGCGAGCAAGTTGCTGCGAAGCCACCTGTGCTACCTTCACGTGCCCTGCAGGCCATGTGCCAGACCTTGCAAGATTGGCATCCGCCACGCTGTCTCAGTCCAGCTGCTGCAAAGCAACATGTGCCACTTTCTCATGCCCCGCAGATTACATCGCTAATCCATTGCTTGCCCGATCAACTACAGTGACCCAGTCCAACTGCTGTCAAGCCACTTGTGCCACATTCACCTGCCCTGCAGATTATGTGGTCAACCCAGACCGCAGGCTGGCCACTGATCTCAGTCAGCAGAGCTGCTGCCAAGCCACTTGTGCAACTTTCTCGTGCCCTACAGGCTTTGTAGCAAACCTGTCCAACTTGGCGTCCACTCTGGTGTACACACAGGAATGCTGCGCAGCTCAATGTGCTGTGCTCAGTGTGTGCCCAGCCGGTTATGTGGAAATCAGCTCCAGCTTTGGAACAAGTAGCTCCGAGTGCTGCTTGGCGACCTGTGCTGTGTTTCCATGTCCAGCCGGGCAAGTTGCAGATTCCTCCCAGGCCACCTCCACGAGCGTGTCTGTAAGTGACTGCTGCCAGGACACGTGTGCCTTGTTTACGTGCCCAGCAGATTATGTGCCAAACCCAGCTACTGTCAGCAGCACCAATCTCACAACTGAGACATGTTGCGAGGCCACATGTGCTACGTTCGCGTGCCCTGCAACCTACCTTCCTGTGGACGAGTCCTCTTCCATCACTGCCGTGTCTCTTGGTAGCTGCTGCTCGGCAACGTGTGCGACCCTGGCGTGTCCAGCAGGGACCCAAGCAATTGCGCATCGCCAGACCTCTACACTGGTGACTCAGTCGCAGTGTTGCGAAGA